ATTATCTGCCCTGAGGGAATTAATTTTGTAAGTTCTTAGCCAAGGGGCATTAATTCATGACTGACACATAATCCATAACTGTTATTTGCAGTTATTTTATATATTACCATGAGTCTTTTTGTAAGAAATTGGATGAAGAATGTATGGATTTTGGATCACCCAAAAAAGTTTCAGCTCGGTCAGACAATTGTTGTGCCATGTGGTGACGTCACATATGATTCTGAACAATGAATGACATTGTCTTCTATTATCATGTTTATTTACAAGAGTGCACAGATATGAGACAGGTATATACTGGTGACCTTTGTCCCTGGATGTTGTACCGATCAGCAGCAATTCAAAACACCAGTCCAGACAACATTTGTCCAGCCACGATTTCTGAACACTGGCTGAATATAATGTGTCCAAGTCAAGTTTTAAGTATTTGTACATATTAGTTAGATATTTTAGATGTTACATTTCAGCTTTTTACTTTACACACAGTACACTACAAACCTTTAGAGTTCTACAAGCCCCCAATACAATAAGCTTAACCCTGCATCCTGCATCCTGCATTTAACAACAGCCACCTTACTGGGTCAGGGCAGGTTCTGGCCCATGTGCTTGCACTCTGCACAAGTTTTTTTTGTCTGTCTGCTTTAGTTTCTCTGGTCAGCTTACTATCTATTTTGTATTTAGTTTTAGGTTTCTATCAGGCATATGTAGTAGGCAGTCTTACACATATGTTTAAGGAGGTCACTTTAATCGTTTTCCTTAACTCCACGTCCTGCTACAGTAAGATCTTAAACATGTCGATGTCACTCTTATCATCACTTAGGACCGCCTCCGTGGTCTAGTGGTAGAGCGTCCACCCGGAGAGCGGAAGGTGCAGGGTTCGATCCCCGGTCGCGTTATACCAAAAGATGTTAAAATATGGTACTTGTTGTTACCCTGTCTGGTGCTCGGCATTAAGGGGCTAAAACAAGGACTGGTCAGCTTGGAGTCAGTATACTGTGTCTGAGTGGGGTATTCATGTTAAACTGCAGCATGGTATCTCAGTGGGATGGCACTATAAATCGGCATCAGTCCGGACTACTACAGGCAGCCACACACACAAACACATGCATACACGTCGCTATATAAGTGCAATAATCTTGGACGCGACGTTAAACCCAATTTCACCTCACCTTATCATCACTTACAACTTTCTCTGCTTTTGCAACTGAAGAAACTGAGACCTTCAACAGTTTGGATATCCCTGCCATTTCATCCTCCTATGTGATGTACGCTTGAACCAGTTAGTCCAATGACCAAAACGACCCCAAAATATATGAACAGAAACCATATACTGATATGAATCAATGGCGAGAAACTGTTGGAGACTGGGCCAAGTTATACATAGGTATATGGGAGTACCTCCTGTGTTTTTAGGAAAAGACAACAAAAGTTTGTTCTTTTGTACATATATTTCCTTGGTACTGTTATGAGAATGCTGAGTAGTGTTGTAAGAGAGTTATTTCTACAATACATTTGCCGGGCCAAAGGTCAGACAGCATCAAAGAGCTCCCTGTTCGAATTACCGGTCAAAACTGGAAATTACCAGTAAACGAACACACAGTGACATGGCATTGCCAAGGGCTGTTCGTGTAAACAATCAAGCAATGGAACAATTCTCAGTTAGACTTTCTGAAAAACTGACGTTCTCATTACCAATGCCCTATGGGTAATAGAGGAATGATAGAGTTGCTGTAGACATGTTCCTCTGCTCTTTTGGTAAATGAAATTCTACCAAGTGGAAGTGGGTTTATGCAGGTTCCATGGTGGGCTTTCTTTTCGTTTTGGCCTCCTTATTCATCTTTCACTTCTTTGCTGGGTCTTTGAAGCTGAAAATCTAAAACTTCAGTGTAGCGAAAATGTTGCATGTACAAGTCACTACAGTTACTACATTGAAACAGATACATTTTCTGTAATTTCAAAGTCCTGTCCTGAAAAAGCCTTAAATTTGGCATTCCTGTCTTGCAAAACACCTTTTTTGGCAGACCTGTCTTGAAAAAGCCTGAAATTTTAGCAGTCCTTACAATTTCATAAATACTTTGAAAAGCTCTGACAGTCACTCACTCTATGAAGGTTCATACTCCAATGAAATCACACACAGTGAAAGTCAGTTCTTAAATAAGATGATCCCATTTAGCCTTACAAGTCTCTGCTGCTCTGTCGTTACACTGTCCACAGTTGGGAGATTTGGCCTAGTTTTAATGGCACGCTTGGAACAAGTGACAAACTCTGCATGTGACATAGGAGGGCAGCGGGTGGTCAAGTGACTGCTGTTCTTAAGGGCAGACAATGGAGATCTTGCTACTGACAAAGCCATTGGGTAACAAAGTATATCCTCAGTTTAGTCGACTTATAGTAAGAGAGCAGTGGCTTCCTAATCTGCTTCCGGAGTCCCTGAGTGTGCACTGAAGAGCAGTATGATGCTGACTAACCCAGCTGGACCAGTGATGAGTCCTGGTGATCATATCGCCCACTGAAGCATATCTTACACACCTGTGTAGATTAGCATATTTCACACCGAAAAGTCATCAAACATTTCTAGGAAAACCTCCTTTGAGTGCTGCCATCGTTACATTGTATCCAGCTGTTCTGTAAGCTATGATAGAACTTATAAATAAACACACAAAGTGAATGGCAATAGCTATTGGAACATTGGTGAAAGCAAGTGGCCTGTTTGTTTTGGTTCAGTGGGTCCTGGAAGATTTTGTTGTCTTAACTATAAACAGTTTTTATGCAGAGATATTTACTCAAGCAGGAGGGCCTGAGAAAAAACATATATACTTGTTGTTATTGTTATCGTTGTTATGATCCAGTTTGTTTGTTATAGTAAGCAGGAAATATACCACTTTCACCTTAATAAGAACATTCACACGTTATATTTGTCAGAGATCCAGCTCAAACATTGATGAAACTAGAACTTTAGTTTTGGGGATAACTGGTCATTACACAAGGTCATTGATAACTTTAGTTGTATGTCCTTTAGGGCAAGAATGACCGGGAAAATAGCAACAAGCAGAAAAAATATGACAAATGAATTTCACTTTAGGATTGATCTTGTAAATATTAATTATGTACATGTAGGTATGAATACACAATGCCTTTTAGAAAGTGGTCAGATGTAACAATTGTTGTATTTGGGATTACACTGTCTTAGTAAAGTAGAGATACTGGTACTTTGGGGTGGAGGAAGGGACAGTCCCATCCGTGATTCGAACCCTCACTTTCAGAGTGATGCCCCTAATCGCCAGCACAAAGTCAGTGATCTAACCCACAAGAAATGGAGATAAACCTACTTTGTTTTTATATTAGAGGTTTTCATCTCTGATTTGAAACCTGTAAATATTTTTGATTCAATACCTCATGCTGACGGCCCTTACTGGCATGAGTAGCTAACTACAGTACAAATAGTATAGTATGCATAGCGGTAGAATGAATATGTTGCTCGTACAGCAAGCTCTGGTATGAATTGCAACCTGACACTGATTAGCCCCAGGTTAGAAATTACTCAAACAAATTGTGGTGTGCAATTTGATGGATTTTATATATTTTTAATCATTATTAATTTTTGTCAAATAAACAATTGACTTTGCATGGAAACTTGTGATTGTTAATGTCAAGTGAATATATAACCATTATGATTGTCCAGATCACGTTAAAATGGTTCATTAGGAAAAGGTCGGTTCTAGAGAATACATGGAGTAGTATGGCAATAATCTTTGAACAAAGTAGGATGTTTGAATTTATTGATGCATATATCTAGATCATATGTATCAATGTTGATTTATAGTATTCCATTTCTCAGTTCTTAAACCGCCTCCGTGGTCTAGTGGTAGAGCTTCTGCCTGGGAGCGGAAGCTCTGGGTTTAGATCCCCGGCCGCATAAAAGATGGTACTTGTTGTTATCCTGCAAGGCGCTCGGCATTAAGTTGCCTAACAAGGATTGGTCGGCTTTTAGTTAGTATACTGTGTCTAAGTAGGATATTCATGTTAAACTGTGGCATGGTATCTCAGTGAGCTAGCACTATAAAATTTGTCCAGACTAGTACAAGCAGCCACATACACACACACACGTGCATGCATGTCGCTATTTAAACCCCATTTCAGCTCACCTCACCTCAGTTCTTAGCAATCTTCAATAGGCTTAAGATTGTAACAGATATTTTCTGTCTATACTAATACACAATGGTTACAAGAAGCAAGGGATACACAAGAATGTCAAGAAATTGTTTATCTCTTTTAGTTTTCAAGTTAAAAGTCATAGATTGCAATATGTTCCGTGAGGAAAGGTCAGTAGATGTGTGTGTCTGAGGGGTAGTCCCGGGGGTCTGCTTGACCCGGTCTGACATGCTAATGACTCCAACAAACACTTTCTCCTACATCTGAAGTACATCTTGCCCGGGAAAAGGAGGTCTGTTTGCCTCTGATGTATTATTACCACCTGCTACAGTATGTATTGGCACTGATGGAAAGGGGTTTCCAAAGCAGTGTCTTCATAGGACAAGTACAAAAGTTTGAGATGGTACTTGGTTTCTTATACTTAAATGTTGATAACGTTAGAATTTACTGCTGTGGGGATGCCAGACAGAGAAGGTCCCTAGTGTACAAAGCTTGTTTTAATAGTCAACTGAAATGGAGATAGGGTGGTTACAAGGAGTGACCCAGCAAGGCCCAGACTTGATTATGTTTTTGCTGCAGTTACCTAGTTGGGATATTGCTGGAATATTGTTGACTGAACCAGTAAGCTACATTATCTCACTCATTCCCTTAAGTAAAGTGTTATATGTGCATCTTTTAGGGGCAGCAAACTAATATGTTCTTGTGGCAGACACACATGCACACAGAAGTAACAGCCTGAATCAAATCAGTGATGCAGAGATCATTCAAGTTGATTTGTATCCAGTAAACATGACTATGTAGCAGGGAGTCCCTGACATTTGTCTGAGTTGTTTCTTGTGTTGTTTCGGCAGCAACAACGCCGACTTGACGTGCTGACCATCACCCACCCTGACAACCTGGAGCATGAAGGGGAGGAGAAACAGAAGACTGTGTTCATCACCGCCCGCGTCCATCCCGGGGAGACTCCCTCATCCTTTGTATGTCAAGGTAACACTGCCTGGGGAGACTCCCTCGTCCTTTGTATGTCAAGGTAACACTGCCTGGGGAGACTCCCTCGTCCTTTGTATGTCAAGGTAACACTGCCTGGGGAGACTCCCTCGTCCTTTGTATGTCAAGGTAACATTGCCTGGGGAGACTCCCTCGTCCTTTGTATGTCAAGGTAACACTGCCTGGGGAGATTCCCTCGTCCTTTGTCTGTAACACTGCCTGGGGAGACTCCCACGTCCTTTGTATGTCAAGGTAACACTGCCTGGGGAGACTCCCTCATCCTTTGTATGTCAAGGTAACACTGCCTGGGGAGACTCCCTTGTCCTTTGTAACACTGCCTGGGGAGACTCCCACGTCCTTTGTATGTCAAGGTAACACTGCCTGGGGAGACTCCCTCGTCCTTTGTAACACTGCCTGGGGAGACTCCCTCATCCTTTGTATGTCAAGGTAACACTGCCTGGGGGAATCCCTCATCCTTTGTATGTCAAGGTAACACTGCCTGGGGAGACTCCCCCATCCTTTGTATGTCAAGGTAACACTGTCTGGGGAGACTCCCTCATCCTTTGTATGTCAAGGTAACACTGCCTGGGGAGACTCCCCCATCCTTTGTATGTCAAGGTAACACTGCCTGGGGAGACTCCCTCATCCTTTGTATGTCAAGGTAACACTGCCTGGGGAGACTCCCCCATCCTTTGTATGTCAAGGTAACACTGCCTCGGGAGACTCCCCCATCCTTTGTATGTCAAGGTAACACTGCCTGGGGATACTCCCTCGTCCTTTGTATGTCAAGTTAACACTGCCTGGGGAGACTCCCTCGTCCTTTGTATGTCAAGGTAACATTGCCTGGGGAGACTCCCTCGTCCTTTGTATGTCAAGGTAACACTGCCTGGGGAGATTCCCTCGTCCTTTGTCTGTAACACTGCCTGGGGAGACTCCCTCATCCTTTGTATGTCAAGGTAACACTGCCTGGGGAGACTCCCTCATCCTTTGTATGTCAAGGTAACACTGATTTGGGAGACTCCCTTGTCCTTTGTAACACTGCCTGGGGAGACTCCCACGTCCTTTGTATGTCAAGGTAACACTGCCTGGGGAGACTCCCTCGTCCTTTGTAACACTGCCTGGGGAGACTCCCTCATCCTTTGTATGTCAAGGTAACACTGCCTGGGGAGACTCCCTCATCCTTTGTCTGTAACACTGCCTGGGGAGACTCCCTCATCCTTTGTATGTCAAGGTAACACTGCCTGGGGAGACTCCCTCATCCTTTGTATGTCAAGGTAACACTGCCTGGGGAGACTCCCCCATCCTTTGTATGTCAAGGTAACACTGCCTGGGGAGACTCCCTCATCCTTTGTATGTCAAGGTAACACTGCCTGGGGAGACTCCCCCATCCTTTGTATGTCAAGGTAACACTGCCTGGGGAGACTCCCCCATCCTTTGTATGTCAAGGTAACACTGCCTGGGGAGACTCCCTCGTCCTTTGTATGTCAAGGTAACACTGCCTGGGGAGACTCCCTCATCCTTTGTATGTCAAGGTAACACTGCCTGGGGAGACTCCCCCATCCTTTGTATGTCAAGGTAACACTGCCTGGGGAGACTCCCCCATCCTTTGTATGTCAAGGTAACACTGCCTGGGGAGACTCCCCCATCCTTTGTATGTCAAGGTAACACTGCCTGGGGAGACTCCCTCGTCCTTTGTATGTCAAGGTAACACTGCCTGGGGAGACTCCCCCATCCTTTGTATGTCAAGGTAACACTGCCTGGGGAGACTCCCTCATCCTTTGTATGTCAAGGTAACACTGCCCACAACAAAATTCAGCTGTTGCTGGTAGGAAAATGTCAAATTTGGTAAACTGACTTCAGCAGTAACAGTTCATATTTGCAGGTGTGATAGACTTTCTGGTCAGCAACCATCCAATTGCCAAGATCTTGCGGGAACACATTGTGTTCAAGATTGTGCCAATGCTGAACCCTGATGGGGTATTCCTTGGGAACTATAGGTAAGATTCCAAGTTGTACTTCAACATTCAGCTGCTGCTGTTTTGATTTTGTAACCCTATATTCAGTATATCTACAAACATCTTGACAAACCTAGGTAGCTTCAATAACTCTCAGTTTTCTATTAACAATTATGTATTGAACTACATTTAGTCTCTTTTCATTTTTGCGCAGGTGCTCTTTGATGGGGTTTGATCTGAACCGCCACTGGCTGGAACCTTCTCCATGGGCCCACCCCACCCTGTACGCCACCAAGAACCTGCTGATGGAGCTTGACAGAAGTGATGTAAGTGACACTCAGAGGAGACTGGGGGGATTTCAGTGGACAGGTCCTGGCAAATGTGGGTCATAGATGACTCAGTGGCAGAGGTGGATCCTGGATGTTTTAAGTGGAGGGGGAGGGGCATCACATTGTCAGTGTTAACATTCAGTGGGTGTTGAAAGGCAGGTGCTCTCAACTGCATCACTTTGGACTTTCCTCCTTCAAAATGGTGTTCAACCAAAATCACTTTTGTGAGTACAGACAATATTGACTACCGAATTCAACATAATAAGCGCCCTGCTCTAATAAGCGCCAACGGCGGTTTTTGCTAATATATTGGCTAGTGAAAAATCCGAATTAGCACCCCTTCCGATTGATCAATGTACACAAAACTTATTTATTCGCGTTTAATATGCACTCTTGTGTTATATGCACCCTTAATTATGGACATTAAAATCTGGAAAAATATATCTGTCATATATACACATTTCAGGCTGTCAGCATAAACCACATAATTTATCTTTTCACCAAAATAATATTCTAATAAAAGCCCCCTATTTTTTATTTTGAGAGTGCCCTGGGCTCTTGAATACGGTATTTCAAAATGAGAAATTTATTGAAACTATGTGTTGTACATTCTGTTTTTATCCAACCAAAATGTAAATTCCAAAACTGTAGATGTTATGCATTACAATCACAATATTGTGTAGTCATGGTAGTACATATAGTATGTTGACAGTTATGTCCGACCCTTATTCTCCTGCAGAAATATGAGGTGGACTTTTACATAGACCTGCATGCACATTCCACCCTGATGAACGGCTTCATGTACGGCAACATCTACGAGGACATGGAGAGATATGAACGTCAGTCGGTGTTCCCCAAGCTGCTGTGTGCCAATGCAGAGGACTTCTCCCTCGCCAACACAAACTTCAACAGGGATGCCGTGAAGGCAGGCACCGGCCGAAGGCAAGAATTTAGTCTTTAATATATGTACTGGATGTAAAGATGATGTGTTGGATGATTGGATGACAGAGTAGATTCTGGAAAGTCATGATGTCAGATCTTGAAATAATTACTCCACAACTTGCCTGAATATGTGTACCATACAGGCAAACTGTGTAAAATATAAGGAATTCTCTTGGTTGAAGGATACGTGTCGCATGGGCACATTGTTTTGGGGACACGTGTCGCATGGGCACATTGTTTTGGGGACACGTGTCGCATGGGCACATTGTTTTGGGGACACGTGTTGCATGGGCACATTGTTTTGGGGACACGTGTTGCATGGGCACATTGTTTTGGGGACACGTGTTGCATGGGCACATTGTTTTGGGGACACGTGTTGCATGGGCACATTGTTTTGGGGACACGTGTTGCATGGGCACATTGTTTTGGGGACACGTGTTGCATGGGCACATTGTTTTGGGGATATGTTCCCATTGTTCCCATTTAGACGCCTGCTTCTGATTGGTGTTTCAGTAAGAATGACGTGGTGTTACTACTTGGTACCCATTTAGGGACCTGCTTCTGATTGGGGTTTCAGTTAGAATGTCATGTGTTACTACCTGGTACCCATTTAGATGCCTGCTTCTGATTGGTGTTTCAGTTAGAATGTCATGTGTTACTACCTGGTACCCATTTAGGGACCTGCTTCTGATTGGTGTTTCAGTAAGAATGTCATGTGTAACTACCTGGTACCCATTTAGGGACCTGCTTCTGATTGGTGTTTCAGTAAGAATGTCATGTGTTACTACCTGGTACCCATTTAGATGCCTGCTTCTGATTGGTGTTTCAGTTAGAATGTCATGTGTTACTACCTGGTACCCATTTAGGGACCTGCTTCTGATTGGTGTTTCAGTAAGAATGTCATGTGTTACTACCTGGTACCCATTTAGATGCCTGCTTCTGATTGGTGTTTCAGTTAGAATGTCATGTGTTACTACCTGGTACCCATTTAGATGCCTGCTTCTGATTGGTGTTTCAGTTAGAATGTCATGTGGTGTTTCTACCTGGTACCCATTTAGATGCCTGCTTCTGATTGGTGTTTCAGTTAGAATGTCATGTGTTACTACCTGGTACCCATTTAGATGCCTGCTTCTGATTGGTGTTTCAGTTAGAATGTCATGTGTTACTACCTGGTACCCATTTAGATGCCTGCTTCTGATTGGTGTTTCAGTTAGAATGTCATGTGTTACTACCTGGTACCCATTTAGACGCCTGCTTCTGATTGGTGTTTCAGTTAGAATGTCATGTGTTAACACCTGGTACCCATTTAGATGCCTGCTTCTGATTGGTGTTTCAGTTAGAATGTCATGTGTTTCTACCTGGTACCCATTTAGACGCCTGCTTCTGATTGGTGTTTCAGTAAGAATGTCATGTGTTACTACCTGGTACCCATTTAGATGCCTGCTTCTGATTGGTGTTTCAGTTGTGTCTTTGGCCATTGTTTCTATTTCAGCTAGAGTTTGAACTACAATGTCTTATAAAAAACAGGTTTGCCAGTGCAGTGTTTTCCTCAGCCGTAAATTTAACCGTTACTTTCAGTTCTCCCCTGCTTCATCCGAGATGGAGGAACATGACATTTATTACTCCATGGCCCATGGGAATAGGCCATTCGGGAGAACGACAAAATACAGAGAAAATTAAAATGACCTCAAACTCGCTTTGAACACTCTGTTTATGTCACCAGATAATGCTTCCTTATTTGGGAATCTTAGTCAACCCCACTGCAAGATAATACCTCCCTAAGTTGACGAGACATACAATATCTTCCTGGGCTCACATCACAATGTCACTCATGTCACAACCCTTAATGACACGTTTACTGACACACCCTCTGATGGAATATGTTTACTGACACACCCTCTGATGGAATATGTTTACTGACACACCCTCTGATGGAATATGTTTACTGACACACCCTCTGATGGAATATGTTTACTGACACAACCTCTGATGGAATATGTTTACTGACACACCCTCTGATGGAATATGTTTACTGACACACCCTCTGATGGAATATGTTTACTGACACAACCTCTGATGGAAAATGTTTACTGACACACCCTCTAATGGAATATGTTTACTGACACAACCTCTGATGGAATATGTTTACTGACACACCCTCTGATGGAATATGATTACTGACACAACCTCTAATGGAATATGTTTACTGACACAACCTCTGATGGAATATGTTTACTGACACAACCTCTGATGGAATATGTTTACTGACACAACCTCTGATGGAATATGTTTACTGACACAACCTCTGATGGAATATGTTTACTGACACACCCTCTGATGGAATATGTTTACTGACACACCCTCTGATGGAATATGTTTACTGACACAACCTCTGATGGAATATGTTTGCTGACACAACCTCTGATGGAATATGTTTATTGACACAACCTCTGATGGAATATGTTTACTGACACACCCTCTGATGGAATATGTTTACTGACACAACCTCTGATGGAATATGTTTACTGACACAACCTCTGATGGAATATGTTTACTGACCCACCCTCTGATGGAATATGTTTACTGACACGGAATATGTTTACTGACACAACCTCTGATGGAATATGTTTACTGACACACCATCTGATGGAATATGTTTACTGACACAACCTCTGATGGAATATGTTTACTGACCCACCCTCTGATGGAATATGTTTACTGACACAACCTCTGATGGAATATGTTTACTGACACAACCTCTGATGGAATATGTTTACTGACAACCTCTGATGGAATATGTTTACTGACACAACCTCTGATGGAATATGTTTGCTGACACAACCTCTGATGAAACGTTTATGGTCATAACCTCTGAAAACGATCTTTACAAACCGTTGCCGTAAATGGTAAAATACCTGTCAGTGCCTCCTCATCTGTTGAGTGATGCTGTTGTTTTGTTGTGTTTGGAAGCTTATTTGTACACATGCATGTTGCATGACAGAGGTGGAGGAGAGCAGCCAGAAGGTGGACTAGTTACAACCATTAGGATTCCTTCAACATGAGTCAAACTCTCCAACTACCCAGACAGTTGAAACTTGGTTTACTTTACAGCAGTTCAGCGAAGCATGTCAGCGACTGGAGTCAGTTTTCAAATTCCTTTTCTTGCAAGAACATCACATAGCCAATGGATTCCTGCTTGTTGTTTGTTTGGGGCTCTAAAGAAATGTGTATTTTTCTCCAACAGGATTTAATGACTTGCTCGTCTTTTCAAATTATTGTCTGAACATCATAAACAGCTGGGAAAAATCTGTTGAAAAGAAAGAGACTTCATGCCTTAAGCTAGCTTGAATTAGAAACCACATGAAATTCTCCAGAAGCAGTCATTATGTCGTAATCAAGGATTAACAGTACAAGCCATGTTCAACAATATGTGTACAACAGAAATTGACAAGCTAGATAGCATCAACAAATTATGTTCATTGATATTTATTGCATCCTTACATAACTTGGTATTTGCATGGAGAATGTTGATATTTTCACTGCTAGAAATGACAATTACCCTCAGTGAAAGGATTCTCCAAGGGAGACGGGCTTAACCTCTGTTATTCATACATAACGTGTCATCATTCCACAGGGAAATATACAAATTAATGATCAGAGAGGGTGATATTTACATTTCCCAATTTTCATATTGCTATTCATCTTCGCTTGTGCATCAATTTGTGCATCGATGGGCTTCAGCGAATATCAGATCTTGCTGAAACAGCAGCCCCAGATTTCTTTGTGCGTGATTGATGAATTAGGTAACTGAGAAATGAGTGATAGCTATGTACAAGTGCAAATGACATGATTAAAAATCGCAGTATTGGTTTTTGGGACAACCATTCATCAAGTGAAGACACAGATGAGTAACACTGTAAATGTTAAATAATGAACCATTCTAAGTAATGGAGATCGCATCTTCACTACCTCACTTAGGAAAGAAATGTCTTGCTGGCGTAGCGTAGCTGGATTGTTATGTGAAATTGATACTTGTTTTATTCATTCTTTTTCCATACAGACATAAACCCTTGTCAAGAACTCTTCACTGTGACTCCATCATTTGTTGTTTTGATGAATGATACAAGTAGATCTTAGCTTGCAGCACTGGTTGTTTTCAGTGTGTAAATACATCAGATATGATCATGAAACCTGCATGAATGCAGAGCTTGTAATAGTTGATTGACATTCATTATAGTGAGTACAGTACATGATCCATGGCTAGTCAAGAAAATAGCTTCCGACATTTTCTGTGCAAGATGAGAGCTGGAAGAAAATGGAGGGTCGTGAGGAGGCACGCTTCTCCTGGAAAGGAATTTGATGGCAAAGGATGTTGACACTTTAGCATGTAGATAGTCAGGATAAACAATTCATTAAAATGTCAGAGCGTACAGGATTGTATGTGCTGAATGGTCTTGCTCAACCTACAGAGATTTATCTAGACCTGCTTAAGGCCGTTATTTAGCCCCATAGTTGCAAAAAAAAGCTTAATGATGGAATTTCCCAATTCATGTTAATATAGTTATAACAAATGTTATGGCTTGGCAGAGGTCACTGACAACAGGGCCAATGAAGCAGAAGAGGCGTTAATGCTTAGTTTTACATTATCACTCTGAATGCAATGTTAAAATAACTCTGAAATTAGAAAAATAAACCTTTTTAAAAAATCCCAATTTTGGACAACGAAATTTTATTTTGTTTTTCCCATTTGCCTACTGTGGGGACTTAGTTAAGAATCCTAGATACATCCCTGACCTAGGACTGGTGCTTGTCAAATCCTGTACAGCCACCAATGAATGACACATGTGAAACTTTCATCATTATGAGTTGCAAAGATTTCTTTTTGTAGAGTATATTATGCAGTTTAATTTCATGTTCAAAATGCAAACAGTAAATTATGACATGGACAATTTGTGTGTGTGTAAGAATTTGAAATGGATGACAAGGTAGGATTATATTTT